TTCTGGCATTCTATCTGGCAATGTATCTAGCAATCTATCTGACACACAAATGGCATACTATCTGGCATATCTTCTTGCAGCATTCTATCTGGCAATCTACCTGGCATTCTATCTGGCATATTTTATCTGGCAAACTATCTGGTTGAGGTCCAGCGGTGCACACTGCGATCGGATCCTTGCGGTTGAGGTCCGGGGGTGCACACTGCGATCGGATCCTTGCGGTTGAGGTCCAGGGATGCACACTGCGATCGGATCCTTGCGGTTGAGGTCCAGGGGTGCACACTGCGATCGGATCCTTGCGGTTGATGTCCAGGGGTGCACACTGCGATCGGATCCTTGCGGTTGAGGTCCAGGGGTGCACACTGCGATCCGGAGCTTGCCAGACAAGCTCGGCGAAGCAGATTGGCGAAGCAGATTGGCGATGAAGATTGGCGAGGAAGGAAGCAAGGAAGGAAGGAAGGAAGGAGGAAGGAGGAAGAACAACTGTGATAAAATCTAACAACCTTCACCTGGCAGGTGGGGAAAAACATTCCCCAAGGAGGAAGATTTTTCTGGAAAACACATGCAATATTTAATGTAATATAATATATTATATCGCCTCAAAAGCTTGGACAGTATGCCCTTGACGGCTTTGCTCATGTCATGAGGCAGGGCTTCATACCGACTAAGTGGCGCAATCAGGATCTCTGGAAGCGACTTCAGGCCAGCTGGGAGCGACTCTCCAGCACTGTTCAGCTAACTAAGGTATCTGCCCACCTTGACCCCGCACTGGCGTTGACGGAGCATGATGCCTGGCTCCGCTACGGCAACAGTTGTGCTGACAGCGCTGCAAAGGCGGCAGTGCGCACAGGTGGCTCCACTGTTCTCCGCGAGAGGGTTCGTCTCGCTCGTGAACAGGACAAGCAGAACATGTTCTTGGGGAAACAGCACCAGCTTTTCCTTTTGCACTTGGCCAAACACAGTTTAGCTTCACGGCCGGACGGCTATGAAGAAGAGGATGACACGGATCCCCTGCATCAGCTGGACTTGAATCTGCGATGCCATAGCAATGACTGGACAGAATGTTTTCCTGTTGATGTGGAGGCTGCTCTGAGCAAACGACCTTTCTTCACAGGATTTGGGTCAATTTTTGGTCTTAAACTTTCTCAGTGGATCATCCATTTAGATCGGACGGCGGTTGTTTTTCCTTTCGTGACTCTGTTGGAGGTCTTTATTGGTTTTCATTTGTTTTCTGGTTTACTTATGCCCCTTCAAACCATGAGGGCTGGGCAAAGCACCTGGGTGCCCATTGACACGCTTGCCGCTGGTGAGTTGGTTGGTCGTACTTTGGCCTCGAACCTTAGGGTGCTTGAGCTTCTTTTTTCGGAAACTATGGCGGCGTGTCAGCGTGAGTGTAGTTGGGGCTGTGTCGCGCGTCCGGCGGCGATGATCCACAAACCCATGAAAGCAGTTCAAATCCCGTGGCCTGAACATGAGGCAAATCGGGTGGCTGACTTTTTGTGGCACTTTTTGCGAGGGAAACCATTGAGGTATGCCCGTGAGCTGGCAAGGCAGCTCTGAGCTCTTTGTCATGTTTAGTTGCCTGCGGCATTGCAATCGCCATGCCCGGCACGCCAGAGACACGCGACGCTCTCGGCTGCACGGAATAATATATCGCCTCAAACACATACAGGTATTTCGTACCAAGCAATCCTAGAAAACCTCAAGCAAAATGATACCCAAACACTCTGTCATAAGATGGTTTTAACATGTTTCAACAACAAAAGGTTGTTGGATTTAAAACTCCTTACACGGACCTTTAGATCAACTCCATTCAACTCCCATACATGCCTACATTCCATTGTAGATCCCATGGAGGGTCTGGTCTACTCCATGGCTCCGCTCACCTCCCCTTCGCCCCCCTCGTCCTCCGCGTAGGACTCGATGGCGATCTTCAAGCGCCGCGTGGTGTCGTGCTCGATGGTCGTGTCGATGTACATCAAGACCGCGAGGCCTCGGTCGGTGTCGAACGAACGACACGGTTGGGTGGGTGGGTGGTGAAGTTCCGGACGAACGGGTGACACGGGGGTTCACGGGTGACACGGTGTCATGACACGGTGAAGGCAATAGATGTAGGATGTTTTGATGAATGGGAAGTGTGAATTCACACCTAGTGGGTTGTTCAAAGGTGCCAAGGGATGTACAAGAACAAAAAAATTGTTGATCCATTTACCAAATGTAGAGCCCAAACGTGACCCCTGCTTCGACAAGAAAGTGGGTGATGGCCGGCCCAAGGGTCTATGTCAGTATAGGTTGTATATTCCACTATGACTCAATTATGACCTATATCTACCAACCTGAGTGACTTATAGAACTCACTATATAGAGTTCTATTGTGGTAGGCATTTTTCTTCCGTAACATGGGGTGTCCGGTCTGGGCGTTCTTCGTTCTACTTGTTGGAGTGTCCTCTGACGGAACCACCGTTCAGTGTTAGACTGACCGACGTGGGAACCTCTCCCTGACCGATCAAGACCCCGACAAAACCGGTGGCCATGCCAGGTCAAGAGATGTCAAAGTGTCAAAGAGGTATAGAGCAGTATAGAGATGCAATGAGATGCATAAAGATGCCATAGAAAAGAGTATCCAAACTCTACATCGGGTCAAAATCTGTAGCCCAACCAGTCCACCATGTGGCTTGACCTTCAAGGTAGGTCAACCAAGGGCTCCTGGTTTTGACCCACAGCCATATCATTGTGATGAAATCTCTACCACCCTAGCAAATGTACAGGGTGGCATAAGGGTCTAACCCCCTGCTATAGAGCGTCCGTCCCTGCGAAGTGGTCGGGTCCTGGTTTGGGCAAGTATCGGATCGAAACCCTGGTCAGTTTGACCACATTTTTTCTGAGGTTTGAATCGGTTTGAATACAAGAACCATCAAAAACACTATTTTAGGACCCGGTTTTACTGGGTCAAACTAGACCTCTATAGATCGAACCAGTTCGTGTGGATCGAACCCGGGTTGGTCGAGTTGCGCAAATCGGGACAATCGGGTTGGTGGGGCTCACTTAGTTGGTTCGTTTTGGTGGCGGACATCATACCTGGATCTTCCAACTATGCCAAGACCATCACCAAGAGGGGTTAAGTGACCTGAACTAGGACCCGTCACATGGAGTGCCTATGGGATAGCCTAGTTCGGGTTCTTCAACCGTTGTTGGCATACCTGGAGACCGCCCCAAAACACGCTGGAGTCCACCAAAGACAGCCACAAGCAGACCTGGCACATTGCCCCAACGACCCGGTGCAGGGTCCCTGCAGAAAACACCGCAAAAAGCGATACCACGGGTCCATGGTGGTTCGGACCACCTAAAAAAAATCAAAGACCCCTCAAAAGCCAATAGGTAAGTGAAGGTCAAAAGGTCAAAAGCCAGTGGTAAGCCTTGGCCAATGGCCGAAATTGTTTGGACCACCTCATGCCGGTTGGTAAAAGTTCGGCTCACCAATTTGGACAGCGGTCGACCCAGTCGACGCAGGACGTGGCCTTTTCTACGGCGCCAAGCGCTAGTCACTCGGGATACATTACAGAATTTACACTCCCTGGAACTAATATGGAAGTGGAAACTGGCATGTTAGTTCCAGGGAGAGTACAGTAGATTGCATGTCATTCGTTTTGTCGAAGGGCAGCCCTCACCAACTTGACAAAGAGCTGCAACATGCTGCAACCCTTGAATATGCTCCATGTAGGTCACTGAGTCTAAGAGCTGCAACCCTCAAAGGCACCATCTTCAATGTGAGTGTTCGGGATTGTCAGGTTCATTGGCGAGCTCCAATTCAGAAAGGCAGCAGGCTTAATGCAGGTCACTGAGTTTGGGATGGTCAGGTTCGGCAGAGTGCGTTTCAGGGTTTGCACTTCTCTTAGCGTCTTAGAGATGCAACCCTGAAAGGCACTCTGCCCGATTTCAGTCACTGAGTCCGGAATGTCAAGCTGACCAAAGAGCTGCAATCGCTAAAGGCACCATGGCCCATGGCCAATGTGAGTGACTGAGTCTGGGATGATCAATTTGGCCAACATGTTGCAGCCTTAGAACGTTTTTGCTGCAATTTGGGCTTCATCCCTCGGGATTTCAACAATGAGCGAAAGACTTGAGTCTTCCAATTCGCCTCTAGCTGCTAGCGGCGGCGATTGCATCTTTGTTGGACAATGTCGACATGTTTTGTTGGAAGACAAGCGAGTCATCTTTAGACTCTCTATCGGACCGCGCTGCGTTTGCCACATACTCACCGTTGCCAAGAGGCTTCTCTCAAACATCCTCACCCCAGTCGTCTTGCGTCGTCCCAGCTCAGCTGCACTTCTTTGAGGCGCTTCACCTCCCTTCCCGCAATCGCCGTCCAAATGTCCTCCCAACTGCCTTGCTGAAGTGGTCATCACCATGGCTAAGCCAATCACTCCAACCAGTACTTGAGCTGATCCTAATCTGAATGTGTGTCAGAGTTGATCACTCAAGCATGCTGAAGTTGCTTGCATTCTCTGGTGAGGCTTTTTCGTGCTATATTACATGATTGTGCATACTACAATGTTCTCTTGACGCATGCTTGGAAAAAAAAAAAACTATATCATCGTTTCAGATTCCTGAGCTGGAAGTGGAAGGCAGGAGGAATCCTCTTCACTTTCATAGGTGGGAGATGCAGGAGTCATCCTGAACCGCCTCCCTTGCCCCCCCAGCACGGTAAATATGGTGGTTTTCCACATGCCACCCGGTGCAAGAGTTCTTCCATCAACTCAACAGCAGGGGAACAAATCGATGATCCCTACGAATGAAGTGGTACTCATCAGCCACATTATTTCATGAGAGCCAAATTCCTTGCAGGACCTCAGGGTCTGATCTTACAACATGACTTAAGAGGTCTAGTCTGGCTACAACCAGCAGGCTTCGAGCCGTCAAACACAATTTCAAACCTGTGGTCTTTTTTCGCCACGTTCACTCCAGCACGTGAGCGAAACACAACCGTGCCCACCATACTCTTGAAAGTTTTGCATGTCCTATCGCTGATATCTGATTCTATATATTTTTACATACTCCAGAACATTCCAGAACTATGTACATCTATACAGTAGATACAATGGTGTAAACGTCCAGCACAGCTGCAAACAGCAAGAATTTCCACCTCTCCCGATGCGGTCTAACTTTTCTCCGACACTTGCCAAGAGCAACGACCTACGCCAGCACATACTTGGTGTAGTTTTCGCAAATGCTTCGGCAGCTATCCTGGAATGACATCTGGACTGCGTGACAAAGCTGTGGGAGCTGGTAAAGACAACCTAGTGAAATGGAGAACCTGTAACAAGCATCTCGAACCTCTCAGAACCTTTCAGAACTCTCAGACCCGGTGAAGTCGAGGGCGGCACGCCCAACCATTGACTGGGCGTGCCGAAGGTTCCCGAACCAATGGTTGAAAGTCTGTGTGGATCAACCCCGAACCAAGACTCATGGACTCATGGCTTAAATCCAAACCCAGACACTCCATGTATGCCATATATGCCTACATTGACCCCTCAAACCACCCCAATGTAGACATATATGGCATACATGGAGTGTCTGGGAAATATTTGTACCAGGCCAATCGGGGATGCTGGCGAGCATGAACAACTGTTCTTAAGCACATGGTGAAGAACGCCGGTCGGTCTAGGAACGCTCACTCACGCTATTCCCAAATGCTTCGCAATGTATGTAAACGCACAGCTTGAAAGCGCCCCACTGCAGTTGGTCTCTGTGCATAGCTGCAGGAGTCCTGAGTTTCTCGCCTCTCATCGTGTAATTAGATTTGTTTGGACGATTCCCTGTAGATGCCCGCTAGAAGGAGCCTCTCCAGCAGGGAAAACACTCAATACCTTGTCTATTTATACTTCCCTTGCTTTCGTTACCAATCCAAACAGCGCCCCTTGCGAACGAACATCTTCCTGCTAACCCAACTGTCATCCAGTCTGCAGCAAGGCCCTTGCTTGATGTTAGATCCGATGGCTCTTCAGCACGCAAAAGACGGACTTCGACACGTCACTGGGCCGTCATTTTGACCTCTTCAAGAGGATGTGTCTCCTTCAAAAACCGGCCGACATCTTCATCGCGATCTTCCCTAAGGGAAACCGGTCGCTGCCAAATGGCTGTGCTTCAAAACCAGGAGAGCGACCTGGGTTGACCTTCTGGCCTTGCTAACTTGCCTGGGTTGACCTACCTGTTCCTACCTCTTCCATCCTCTTCCCGTGTCCAGTGACCCCTGAGCGGCGGATGACCACGGTCCGAGCCGCCGTGTCGTCGCATTTGCTCAAGCGCTTCCGATAGGGCTCGAAGACCACGCGGCCGGACTCCTGAGGGACCAAGCTGATGTTGTGGGGACCATATAGGAACCCTGGTCTGTGGTACAGACCAGGGATGGGCGAAAAGAGAAGGGCTGTGAAGTCCCCTCTCTTTAAGACCATGAGATGTTGTGGAGACCAAAATAAGACTTCACGATGTAATCTAGACTCTTGATTACAAACCCACCCCTAGTTGGATTGAACAACCTCTTCATGACATGGGGGGTTTAATCAAGAGTCTACAGTATATAATTATACATGTAATCCTACTGTAGTCCACATTAGTTTCTGGAAGCCGGGCAAATCACCCCTTCACATCCCTAGGCGACCTGGTCAGTGAATGCCTGCACCCCCCCTTGATTGTCTGGTAGACCCGTACACCGAACAGAACCCAACTCCTCATCCCCACAGTCTGAGTTTTCATGGTCACTCTTTTCTGTGGGCGCAAGGCATGCGTGCAACAAAAAGAAACACAAACAAAGGGTCTTTCTTCCTCCAGCAGAGCTTCTTCAGAACCCGAACGTTCGACTCTCCTAGTGCAACTACCCCGGACTCTCGGAGATGCGGGTCCGAGGAGTCCGAGGGTCACCTCTGTTGGCATCCAAGAGTCCAAGTAGGGCAAGATATCGGCATCGCAGTTGATGCCCGCAAAATGTGTGATGCTCGCCGGATACGAGAGGTTGTAGAACTGTGTCGTACACCTTGCGAGAGCGGGTCGCAGCGGGTGATAGGCGGGTCGCGCAGGTGGTACCGGTGGGTTTGGGGGGGTTTTCGGTCGAGATGGGATGATGAAAGGCAGCACTGCAACACACAACAATATGAAGCAACCATCTTTTGGGTGGTGGCTCGGGGTCTGGTTGTGGGCTATGATCTTTCACCCATTGAATATGGAGCTTGGACAAACCTGCTCATGTTCCTTCACAAACCATCAGAAACCCATGGTTGTTCAAACGCTTTCAGGTTCGTCTACTTTCAAGGGTGAAAGGGACTAGGTTCAGCCCAATCTCAGCACGATGCACCTTTTAAATGTTCCTTTTCAGCTACATATATATATATATATATCCCAGTCACCAACTACCATATCAATGAACGAGCATCTTTCAGAGCTGGGTGCAAACCTGTGCTGTTGGGGGTACTGCTCACTGTGCACGTCCACCCTGCTTCAACTTGCTTCAGAACAGAACTTTGGAACAAATTGGACAAACGCTTTTCAAAAACGTTTTGGTCAAAGATCTCTAGCAACACAATGGTTATTATAGTTACTATCTTTTTTTAAAAATGTAACATATATACTAATTATTGCATAATAAACGAATAAATATTATGTGTATAATCCTTCTTCACTTCTTCTGTCAACATCCACAACATCAATGGTGCGGAAGGACTCCGACCTCCGTCTTTCGTCTCCGACACGCCTTCTATTCGGGGACCATCGGGGGACCCGCGCGCCCGGCCTCACATGAAGAGGACTTTTAATATATCCATTCATGGGATGGTTTATGATGTTTATGAGTCTGCAGACAAACCTCTTCTAGCAGTGATGTTTATTGGAGAACATAACGACATGAATCGACATGATTTTTTGATATTTTTTGGTACACCTGATATCGCATGATACAGTGATACAGCAAGATCTAACCCATGAACGGATCCTGGTTCCTCCCGGTCCAGCCGCTCCCCCGCACACGCCACGGCACAGGTCCGCCGGCAGCTCCGCCAGCTGCTCGCGGGCATCGCGGTAGAAGCTCAGCAGCACCGCCGTGGAGGAGGACAAGGAACCGAAGAAGTCGCTACTCTCAAAGAAGTCCTGGAGACCCAAGACACTTCAAGTGGACACTGGACAAGACCAGAACGCCTACACACACGTTCATTCGATTCATTCCCCAACACCCAACACCCCAACTCATTGGCAAATCTATGGGAGTTCAATGGAGTATCATGGAGTACGTCTCTGGGTAGGGACGAGCCACACCGTGAGGATCCACACCGTGACGAGCCCAGGCCGTGCTGAACAGACGCCGAGGTTGGGCTCGATGTTGGACGCCCGTCCATCCCCCAGGCCATCCACGTACAGTGGTTTCAGAGGTGAGCAATGGCACCGGCACCCAATGATGTCTCAGGCAAATCAGGTATTTTGCGTGCGCACCTGGGTCCTTAATGACCATGTCCTTACGACATATATCGACATATGAACACCTATAGGTTTTGAACGTTGCTCCGTTATGGGGGGTTCCTCCACTACGTCCTCCACCCTGGCCTTTAGGGCGCCCTTAGAACTTGCCATCGAACCTCGGATGAGTCACCGTACGGAAGATCGTTCATTAATGACTTACCCAGACACGACCCGTCTGGGACTGCCATGTCGGACTGCCTTCAAAACGGCCAGGGGCGGTGGTATTGGGGGGGTCTGTCTGGGGCGGCAGAACGGACTGGCAGTCCCAGACGGGTCGTGTCTGGGTTACATGGTCTGCCTCACCCAGGTCGAAGGGGACCCAGATTTCTCGGACTGTCCGCTGCACTGGTGTAGTGAAATCATTGTCTGGTCAACCACAAGCTGCGATTCTCCGGGTCATAACCTTGAAGATCTTGAAGAAGGAACATACCAAAACCCATGGGTGAGGGGTCTCCTTAATAAAACAACACACCCAGTTTATGTACCTGGCAACTCTTCTAGTCCTCTGGATGGTCTAAGATCTGTGGGGCGGAGTTCGGATGAGGTGGTGCCCCCCAAGTCCCGGGCTCAAGAAGTGCTATTGGATGTGACGTCCGCGATCCAATCCAACCAACCTTGAAACCAGTCACACCAACAACAAGTCCGGGTTTCAGTTTTTTGGGATGGTCGGATGGGGTCGGGCAGCAAAAGCACCAGCAACAATCCCTCGGACTGAGGATCCTCTTGGTACTTCTTGTATTGGTCTCGCAGAATCCTCAGGTTCAGCAGCATCACCCCCTTGTCCAGCGCTGACTTCCTTGATCTCCTGGACACCTCAAAGAGCACGAGGGATTCTGGCACGAAAAAAAGGCACCAAAATACCCCGGAAGGTCCAGTGACGTATTCTTGAGTCACCCCCTCTCTCACTCTCTGAAACTGAACTTCAAGAAGAGGACTTTGCAATCTGACTGTCCTGACCACGTAAAGAAAATAAGCTAAAACAAGTAAGCGTAAGATCCATCTGACCTCTCCAACACCGGACCTGAACGTAGACTTGACGGAATCCCATCGGCCCATCGCAACCCACCAAACAAGAAGTCAAACAAGAAGTGATCATGGAATCATGCATCACAAGAAATCTGTTGGTCAAACGTATCATGGAGTATCATGGAGTATCAAAGATAGTCAAAGTATAGAAACTCTCAGCCAACACCCCCAGAAAGACGCCGGCTTGACATGGATGTCAACGCGTGACATGGATGTCGTCGCAGCGCAGCTTGCAGCGGGTATGAAGTTTTCGGGGAACTAAAGATCGACAGTCGGACGAACCATTGGCAGCCCAGTCCTTGTAACAGCGCCTACATGTGCGATGTTGAAAAAAGATGAAAAAATACCATAATAGCGGTATATAGTGCTTCTGTATGCATCTGTGAGGGCATTGGGCTGTCTACCAGAATGAACCACATAGTACAGTACAAATGACATGGAGTAGCTCGAGTTGAGACATGCACTGCACCATCTACCCTCGTCCTGAGGACACGCGTATCCCAACAACTTTCAGCCTCGGCTCGCAATCCCAACACTCTGTATCCATGGCATCTTCTTCAAAGCAAAAGCGCATAAAAGCACCAACTCTGTTGTTCCAAACGAAATGCGTCGATCGTCTGCACAGTGGACCACAGAATCAGCAGGAACCGCCCCTTCTTATCATCAAAAATACCATCCCATCTGTCCATCCAACAGCCTGGGATTGCGGTTTTTGGTAGGCCCATTATGGCTATGGCCGATGACCCTGCCTCAAACCTCACAGGAACTCGACCGGGAACTCGACCGACGCTTAATGCCCAGGTCACATTGCCAGGAATCCCAAAGAACATCGGCACCCCCGTCTGGCCCTTCAGCGCCTCAAAGAACCGAACAGCGCCGTGCGGCGCGGGTGCGGCCGCCCTCGCGCCCCCCAGGAGGGTCGCCGGCCCCATGCTGTGGAGGATTTGGCGGATAGAATGGCATGTCTCAGTGATGGGTTCGCCCGGGCAGCTCGCAAGAAACTCACAGTGTTTAACTCACCACTTGACCGGGATCCATGAAAGATCCATGAAGATCCCAAGCCAATCCAAGGTGGAAAAGGACATACAAGATCTAGAATCTAGACATGTACATCTGTACATCTAACATCATCTAAATTTATTTATTATATAGCAAAACAGGCACCGTGGTATTGATAGGCACAAACCTGCATCATTCAAGGAGAGGCAAAAGCACATCTCCATACAAAACAAATGACTAGGCAGTACTTGATATATTATATGATTATGATGGTATATCCCATGCACATATATATATATATACCACCCACCAACCCAGATTGGCTAATATCTTCAGCAAAACATCAACAGACTGCTTCACCAATTCTAGCAACGTACCGGTCGCACCAACACTGTTGGGATGGGCTGGAGGCTGCCGGCTGGGCCAGGTACATCATTTTTCGAGGCTCAACTGGTGGCTGCCCATCCCAAGTCGAGCATGGTGGCAATCTCACCGCCCCATCAACGCCATTAGGGTGAGAAAACGGACTGACAGACTTGAACACATAGGCGACCCCGAGTAAGTATGCTTGCCGTATGGTAGTTGTCTGCACTGAAAAGGAACCGAGTGGCATAGCTCTGGAAGGTGTGGTGGGAGAGCATCTTTCGTCTCCTTAGAGTTGCGATCTGAATGTTCGGCAACACATCGTCTTTCCCCACAGACATGACCTGCATAAAGGATATGTCCAGATCCAAACAAAACCGCCTTAATGTTGACTGCCAATTAGTATCCCCTCCCAGAATAATGTCTGCAGATTTTTTGGTTGGATTGATAACCCCCCGAAAAATGTATGCATATGTTGTCTTTTGTTTTTTGTTCGATAGTTTGTTTAGTTTAGTTGTGTGTTTTTGTTAAGTGTTCTTTCCGCTTTTTTTGATGCTCTCTTTGTTTAAAGACGTCTTTTTTTAGGTTCTCGTGTTTCTTTTTTTACATTCTATTGATGTCCTTTTACAGTAATTCATATTGAGTTTATTTTAACTCCTATTGATGTCCTTTTGATTCCAATTGACTTCCTTCTAATTCCTATTGCTTTCCTTTTACTTCCTATTGATTTCCTTTTACTTCCTATTGATGTCCTTTTA